TGAGATTAATATGGATATCACTAACTTAATATCTAACATAGCAGATACATAGAAAACAACCTACCGTGAGAAGGAGCGGCACAGGATTCTGCTCACAGCCCCAAAGGGGCAGAGGAGTCTCAAATGCCTCTGCTGCAGTCTCAGACTGTCTGGGTTTATATGCTCTCCAGGGAGAGAGAGGTGTTTGATTTCCCAAGCAGGATTTGGGAATTTTCCCAGGAATTCAGACCACACCTGTTTTTATCCAGAGGTTTTTTGTAAGGCCACGGGTGCAATTTTACTATTGAATAATCTCCCCCTTCCTTCTTATTCAACAGTTCGATATTTATTTTCAGGTGAGCTGGCTTGAGTTTCTTTCCCAAATCTTTCCTTCTGTGGTTGCCCTCCTGACTGACAGAAAATACTACACTGCTGCAAAATTCAATGCATGCATAAGCTCTGATTGCCCCTTGGAGCTCAGCAACTCCAGCCTAGACTTTGCCTATTAATGTTTATTCTGAAATTCAGGAAAGATTTGGAATATTGGAGTCAATGGTGAAAAAGGAGGAAGGGCTTACCTTGAAGCAGAGTCTCAGAAAAGGCAGCTGAACCGTTCCTTCTGTCTTCTCCCTGGAGAAAGAACTGTATGAATGCCCAGGAGTGCCACTGCAATATATACCCAGTCCTAAATCTGCGCCTTCTTGTAAACAGAAAATTCCACAGAAAAGAGAAGTTTTCTATTTTCATTCAGGGGGTTTGTTCACACCCTCCCCGAAATGTGTTGACAGTTGTTTTTCACAATTCCCTCAGAACTTCTCCCAGATTTGCTCGCTGGCAGCATGGTATGTCCACATCAGTTAAATATATACCCAATAACGAATTTGCCCTTTTTTATAAACATGGTTTTCCATAGAAAAGAGAAGTTTTTGATTTTTATTTACAGGAGTTTGTTCATACCCACTCTGAAATGTGCTGACAATTTTCAGGATTTTTCCAGAATCTCTCCCGACTTTGCTGACGGGCAGCAAGGTGTGTCAGGATCAGCTAAGAGGGTCTGATCACTTCCTTGGTCATTCCATCCATCCCACCAGCTGCAGCTGCTGCTGCTCCAGCAACTACACATGTTTCTGTTCCCAGGAGAACAGCTCTGGTGACATTGGATGGACTGGCCTGTCTCTGAGTACACTCAGATATTCACAGTCTGCTCTTCTGCAGCCTCGCAGGACATCATCCAATGACCGGGCTACAAATATTCTCTTGCCTGATTGCCATGGCTTTGTATCAGCTTCATCCCAGCAGCCTGGGAAGCAGGAGGCTCTGGGGATACCTCAGAGCACCTGCCTGTACTTTAGGGGTCTGCAGGAGAGCTGGGGAGAGACTTTGCACAAGGGCATGGAGCTGATGGGTGTGCTGGGTTCAGAGGTGATTTTTTTTGGACAATGGCAGGTATGGGGCTGTGTTGTGGAGTTCTGCTGAACACTGAACTCTCATGAGAGGTGATAACACAGAGACGTTTCTGTTATGGTTGGCAGAGGTTTGACAGAGTCAAGGCCTTTTGTGCTTTTTGTACTGCCAGGCTGGCAAGGAGGCTGGGGGTGCTTGGGAGGGTGGGAGGAGACACAGCCAGGACAGGAGAGCCCAACTGACCAGAGGGACATTCTGGACCATGTGACATCATGCTGGCTATATAGTGAGGGGAAGAAGGAGGAAGGAGAGGACATTTGGAATGGTGGGTTTTGTCTTCCCAGGTACCTGTTAGGTGGGATGGGGCCCTGCTCTCCTGGAGGTGGCTGAACACCTTTCAGTCCAGGGGAAATGCTGAAAGAATTCCTTGATGTGCTTTGCTTCTGTGCAGGGCTTTTTCTTTCCGTCTTAAACTATCTCTATGTCCACCCACAAATTTTCCAGCTTTTACCCTTCCAGTTCTCTCCCTGATCCCGGTGGTTGGGGAGTGAGGAAGGGGCTGCATGGGGCGTGGCTGCTGGCTGGGCTTAAACCACGCCATTAGGACAATGTGAAACGGCTTGGAATGGAAGGAATGTGGGTTTGGACTGGCTATTGGGAAGATATTTGTTACTGTGGGGGTGGTGAAACCCCAGCACAGGCTAGGACTGCCCTATCCCTGGACGTGACCATGGCCAGGTTATCCCTTGGAGCAACCTGGCAGAGTGGAAGGTGTCCCTGCCCATGGGAGGGTATGGAAGCAGCTGGTCATTAAGGTCCTCTCCAAACCAAAATGTTCTCTCATTCAATGATCATTCATTCACTCAAAACTAAACTGGACTAATTTTCTTCCATTTCCAAAAGTCCAGAAATATTAGAATGATGAGTTGGTTGTTACACCGAGAGATATCCAGAAAAAGTGTGTTAGACCAAAGCTTGTTCAAAAGAATTGGTTGAGTCCTGTGGTTTCTTCTGTGTCTGTTAACCTGGGATTGATACCCCAAACAAAATGGAGTTTGACCAGAAGGAGGGAGAAGGCACAGCACTTGGGCAGGAGCATTCCTGAACAAACACCTCCTCACCTGACCCCCAGAAGTTCTTGGCTGATGTTCCTTTGCCAAAGTGCTGTTGACCAACAGCAAGAGACATTTTGCCCAAGTACAGGAAGTGAGAGCCTCAGAGCAGGGAGTGTAGCAGAAACCCTCCCGGATATACACCAGATAAGCAATTCCTGAGAAATCAGAGGTGTAATCCTTTAAAAGTTGCCAAGCAGGAAAGTTTGTTTCCTAGATGGACCAAAGGATGTTTGCCCAGCTGCTCCCTCAAGCAGAAGCCAGAAGACATCACTGTCTTCATTCTCCTGTTTCTTTCTCTTTTGGGACAGCACAAGGCAACATGTTCAGTCCCCTGAATGTGAAGCCTTGGTGTTACTGGAAAAGGACTAAGCAAGCTGCATGATCCAACAATGCAGGGAAGTGGCTGGAGGTTGTATTGTCTCCTCACCACTCCCTGAGTGCCTAAAATCCCTCTGACACTGGAACCCAGAAATCTCCCCAAAGATGGACAGACACAGAGCAAACTGCAAAATTACCCTCCCATGTCAGTGCAGCTGCAACTTCCCAGGGAACAGAGGTGCTTCCCACCCCACCGTGGGCATGGACCCGCTCTGGGCTCAGCAAAGAGCTCCATCCCTATTCCCCATCCTCAGCAGGCTGAGCAGAGAACAGCACAATCCCAGATGGCAGGTGCCTGGCAGCTCGCTTGTGGAGCTGGGGCAGCCCTCTGCTCAGCTCCAAGCTGGGTTCCTGTGAGAAGCACAGAATTATTGATGTTGGAAACGGCTTCAGGATCATGGAGTCCAACTTTGACCAATTACCACCTGGTTAAGTGGACCATGGCACTGAATGTCACATCCACTTTCCAGGGATTGGGATTCCACCACATCCTCAGGCACTCCATTCCTGATGCTGAATCACGCTTTATGTGAGGAAATTCCTCCTGATGTCCCGCCAGAATCTCCCCTGGTGCAGGTTGAGGCCTTGTCCTCTCATCGTCTCGCTGGCTGCCTAGGAGAAATCGCTGTCCCCCACCTGGCTACACCCCCTTTCCAGGGAGCTGTAGGGAGCAATAATCTCTCAGAGCCCCCTCTTCTGGGCTAAAGAACCCCGGGTGCCTCAGCCGCTGCTCACAGGCCGTGCCCTGCAGGGCCTTCCCCAGCTTCATGGCCTTTGTCTGCTCTGCCTGCAGAGGTGGCCTCGGCCCCTGGGTCCGGCCTGTCCCGATCCCTCGGCAGAGCCTTCCTGCCCGCCAGCAGGATGAGTCTCCCACCAAATGTGGCATCATCCGTGATCTCCCTGAGAGTTCACTGGATCCCCTCATCCAGATCAGCATAAAGATATTAAACAGGCCTGGGGACACCGCTTGTGGCCGGGTGCCAGCTGGATGTGGCACTGTTCACCAAGCCTCCCTGGGCTGGACATCCAGACAGTTCCTGAGCCAGCCAACAGAGCTCCTCTCCAAGCCATGGGCTGGCAGCTTTTCCAGGAGAACGCTGTGGGAGATGGTGCCAAAGGCTTTGCTGAGGTCCAGGTAGACACTTCCACAGCCCCCCCGTCATCCACTGGGCTGCTCACCTGGTCATCAAAGGAGATCAGGTTTGCCAGGCAGGACCTGCCTTTCCTAAAGCCCTGCTGGCTGGGCCTGCTGCCTTGCTTATCCTGAATGTGCCGTGTGACACACTCAGGACAATCTGCTCCGTAACCCTTCTGGGACGCCAGGACAGGTGGACACTCCTGTAGTTCCCCAGGTTCTCCTGCCAGCCCTTCCTGTGGATGGGTGTCACCATGGCCAAACTCCAGGCATGTGGCACCTCCCAGTGACCCAGCACAGATAGAACTGATGCAAAGCAACAGTCCTCAGGTATGAAATAAGGCAGAGTCCTTTTCTCTGTTGGGCTTCCCGTGTGTTTCACAATCTTGCTGTGCATGGCTGGGCATTTGTGATTACTGCCAGGGGTGAAGGTCCTGGGAAGAGCCTGAGAAGTTGATAGAGCTGGCACTGATGGGGTTGGTGTGCTGGTTTTGCACAGCCTGGTTTTTGGTGGTGGGGGAGCCACAGAGGTGGCTTCTGTGAGAAGCTGCTAGAAACTTCCACTACGTGTGCCAGATCCAGTCCCTGATGGCTCTGAAGATGGAAGTGATGCTGTCCACAGCCTGGCCAATGAGAGAGGTTGGTAACACCTCTGCAGTTTTCTATTTAAGAAGAAAATCAAAAGGAAGCAGGGCATGCAGTTTTAATTCCAGCCAGAGACAAGTTGGAGGTGAGAACATGTGAGGGAAAGGACATGGAGGCACCAAGGTCATTAGAGAAGGAGGTGGTGGAGGCGCTCCCAGTGCCAGAGCCAAGATTCCTCTACAGGCTATGCTGTGGCCATGGTGAAGGACCTGTTCCGCTGGAGGCCAAGGAGATCCATGGGGGCTACGGACATCGACCCACAGCCCATGGGGATCCAGGGGGGCTGCGGAGATCCACCCACAGCCCATGTGGTTTAAGGAAGAGGTGACCCTGCAATCCAGCACTGCAGTAAACAACCTTTATTGTAAGCTCTTGCAAACTACATGATGTGGCACACATTGATCTTTGACAACCATTGAATACATTTCCCCAAATCAGTTTCCCATAAATCTGCAGAAAAGCTTCAGAAGCAGAGCAGAGAATGAAGGTGTCCAAGGAGGGCAGCACAGGAATTGAGCTTTGGCTGCTCAAAGCTTTCTCTGTGCCTGATGCCAAAGCCTGCCTGTCTAATACAACAGCTGCTGCTCTCAAGGTGCAGTTTCAAAAGCAAGGAACCAAAAGCATGTCCCAGGATCACAGAATCACTGAATTGTTGTGTTTTGGAGGGACTTCTCAGATCTTCTAGTGCAGACTCCAGGCCCCAGCAGCATCAGCTAGGGCAGGTTGTCCAGAACCATGTATTGTTGGGGTGTGGGTATGTCCAGATCTCCAGAAAAGATCTCTGAGCACCGGAGGGGCCCTGGTCCCACAGCCTTGCTAAGGAGGTGAGGGACAGGTCAGCTGCACACTCTCGGGGACAGTTGAGGAGGAGAGGACTCGCTCCTGAGAGGGGCAGCAAAGCAAAGCAGCTGGAGGCTCTGCCCACAGCTCTGTGCCTTTGAGCAGAGGAGGAGGGGCCCTGAGGGACGGAGATGGAAAATCACCAGAGAAGGAAGCAGCACAGACGCTGCACAGGACATTTGTCCCCCTCTACTGTGCTCTGCTGAGACCCCACCTGCAGGGCTGCCTCCAGCTCTGGGGCCCACAGCACAAGGGGGATACAAAGCTGTTGGTGTGGGGTTCAGTGGAGGCCATGAAGGTGCTCCAAGGGCTGGGCTGTGTCTGCTCCGGAGAGAGGGTGAGAGAGCTGGGGATGGTCAGCCTGGAGAAGACTCCTGAGAGCCCATTACCTCAAGGATCTCGATGAGGGCTGGAGAGGGTCTCTGGACAAGGGTATGGACTGCAGGACAAGAGGGGATGGTTTCACACTGATGGAGGGCAGGGTGGAATGAGCTATTATAACCAAGTAAATTACCCTGAGCAGGATGTGGTACAAGTAAAGTTACCCAGAGCTGTTTTGAGTGTCCCATCCCTGGAAGTGTTCAAGGCCAGGCTGGGGAGGGCTTGGAACACCCTGGTGTAGTGGAAGGTTTCCTTTACCATGGCAGGCAAGTCAGTGTGAGATGATTTCTAAGGTTTTAAGTTCTGATCAAAAGCAACCCATTCTGTGATTCTGGGATTCTAAGACAAGTGCAAAAAGCCACCAAGCCTCTTCTAAAAAAGATAGAAGCTCTGATACCGGGGACAGGCATTGTTGAACAGGGTAACTGTTTTCCCGTAGAGATCGGTCAAATTCTTCTCCAGCACCCCCAGGCTGACGAGCTCCACCATGTTCTTGTCATTCTCAGCAATGGCCCCCCAAGCATCTTTGGGCTGTGTGTCTTCCCCCAGACAGCAGGCAGCTGACCAGATGTGGCTGGGTCTGTTAACTCTGTTTCCAGAGACGTAGGTGTTCCCTGGCACAGCACCAGTGATAACGTAGGTGCTTTTACAGTCCTTGGTCTTTTGCACCATTGTTTTACACTCATAGTTGTTCCACTGGCCGGTGTTGAGGCTGCTGTCCTGGGGCACTATGTTGGTGAGGGTGAATGTTGCCGTCTTGCTTTCTCTGCTATCCTGATGACTACTGGGGCTCAAATGGCCACGGTCCAAACCCTTCATAACTTTGTAGTCAGCAAGGACAGCCTGGCTCTCTTTGATTTGGTCTAAAGTGAATTTGTATTTCTCTGTGAGGACCGACTCTCTTTCCATCTGTTTAAGACTATTTTTATCTATGAGCTGGAGAGAAAAAAAGAAAGAGGTGTTAGAATGGGGAATGGGAGTAATGGAGAAGATTCCCGGGAGCAGAAGTCTCTGATGGTCAAGACCCCATTTTATTGCCATCTCAGTGTAGCAAAAGGTAGGAATCTGAGAGAAATCATACACATGTGCCCCCCACATGAATGCAGGAGTTTTAATGAGCAAGCAGCTCAGAATCTGACTGCTCTCAGTTTGACTTGTGTCCTTTGTGATCCAGCCTGCAGCCTGTGCTGGGAGCATGGATGGATGCATGAGACAAGGAGCACTTCCCACTCCTAGAATTGAGAGGTGACTTTGGTGAGACACCTCCCCTGCCAAATCTGCTTCCCTTTCCTCCTGTCTCCACAGCCCAAACCTGCCCAGGGCTCTCCCTGGATCCCCTCACACCTCCCAGTGATTCTGTGATTCTGTGATTTTATGTGTGGTTGCTACAGGGGGACCCCAGTCCTGGAACACCAGAATTTACCTCCTTTAACCCTATACCCAGGGAGATGTGTCAGGACATCAGTCCAGGAGCTGAGATTTCCCTGGGAGAGCTGCAGTTTGCTCAAGAATGAACAGTTTTTCTCGGTAAGCAAAAAGATCTCAATGTGAATGGAATCTGTTACAGCAGTGCTGAGAATGTGTCTCAGAGCTGATCTGGGCCAGGGAGCATTTGCTGTAGCATCACGGAAAAGAAGTTACAAATGATCAGCCTCTGAGAGAAGCCTGTAACCTCAAAAGAGTCCTGGGGTAAGGAAATACTCAAAAAGGCCTCAGGAGAAAGTTTAGAAAATAAAAGACTTTTTGAGTGGCCCGGGTCCAAGGTCCAGGAGGAAATGCCAGGCTGGATAGGGCTTGGGGCATGCTGGTCTAATGGCAAGTGGACTGGCCCATGCTGGGGAGTTGGACTGAGATGGTCTTTAAAGTTCCTTCCAAAACAAACAATTCCATGGTTCTCCAGAAACAGAGAATGGGAAGGGTGCAGTGGTGTAAGACCAGAGTAGTTGCTCAGGTTCCTATAGTTAATATGATGCTTATTTTTTTCATAACTTAAACATCATTTTATGATCTTCAGGGAAACATACTTTGCCTTCCTGTGGAGTGGGGTGTGTGATTTCCTTCTCAGGCTCACCTTCTCCCAGATGCTCTCCTGATGCTCTGACCTTACCAATGACAGGAATTGCCTCTTTTTTCTCTTCTGCAACTGGCCTGGCCTGTTCTACTGAGGTTTGTCTGCAGGATATTTGTGAGGGCTCTAGAGCTTGTCGCGTTCTGTCTGACTGCTGGATCCTTCTGCACCAGGCCTGAGCCAAAGGTGCTCAGGGGTCACTGCCCATGGATGGAGATCACCCCCTTGTGAATGGACCAGCACTGATGCTCCTCACTTTTCACTGCCTGAACTGTCACTCCAGAAATCCCTCCCCAGCTAACCTGACCCTCTCAGCTCCAGTGCCTTTTCCCCTGGGCCATCTCACTCCCTTCTGAGTTTCTCCTCACTTCTCCCACACCACTCACAAAGCGTGTTTGACTCTTCACGGGGAGCAGATAAACTCTTCCAGGGATGCAGAACAGCTCAGGGCAAAGTGGGGATCAGACCCCAGCAAGGCTGTTGGTCACTCAAGTTTAGCCTCTCCTGGATGCCTTTTCCCCATCACTTGGTCACCCAGCACAGCAGGGCACAGGGAGGGGAAGCATTTGACTTTGTGATGAATGCAAAGTAACCTGATTTGCTGTTCCTGCCAGGTGAAGGCAGAGAGCTGGGCACCTTTGGGATGTGATTCATCTCATCATCTTGCTGATGCATCAGAGGAACCATGTGTTGCAGGGGTTTGAAGTTCAATGAGGACATTCCCATTGTGCCCATTTGCATGTGTGTAGTGGGGTATTAGGACATAGAAGTGGCAATTTAAATGCTGCAGCCCATCTCTGAGTGGCTGGAGGGTGATGTGCTGTAAGAGAGACACTCACCTGGGGCTCAACAAACCACCATGAGTGGGGTCTCTTGGCATCTGAAGGCTCATATTTGTAAGCAGAGTACACTGGAATTCTCTTGTCTCTGTCGTACAGAGTGGCAAAGCGATACTTGTTGTCGAAGAGCTGGCAGATCCACGCTGGGTTCTTTGGATTCAGGGCATCATTTGGGGTGGTCCCTCCATAGAAGAACTGAGGACATTCTGCAAAGGAATTCACCACCTTGCCGTGTCCCAGCCAGAGGCAGCTGGCCAACACCTGCAGCAGCAGCAGCCCCAGCATCGTGGGAGGATTTCAGTGAAGGGCTCTTGCTCCCCTGGAAGGCAAATGCAGAGGGACACTCAGCTTGGAGAGAGCTGGTCATGGCCTGGAGCCTTTTGTGCAGGGAGACAGAGGTGGCAGAGCAGGGGATTAGATAGACCAGGAAAGGAGTAATTTCTGTCCTCCTGCATATGGTAAAACCAGGGAGGAAATAAGGGTGAAACCTAAAAGAGGCTTTAGGAGCCTAGAGAAGACAGCAGTGGGAGAAGTGAGCCTGTAGGAGGAAGGAGCCAAACCTCCACGAGTGCAATCAGCTCTCACAGCAAATGATATTGCAACTGAGGCACAGCCTGGGACAAGGTCACCTTTTCCCACCTCCCTCCTGCTCTCAGCACCTTCCCACAGCAGACACGGGCAGCTGGGCACAGACTCTGCTCAGCCCCCTGCAATGCTGAGGTGGCCTTTAATCTCATGGGGCATTGGGCAGGCAAAGAACAGCAATGCTGCACTTCCTACATGTCCCTGGCCCCAGCCAGGTTCACACAGACACGCAGCTCTCCCAGACAGACCCAATTCTGAGCCCCAAATGATCCACCTGGGGTCCTGCCTCTCACCTGGCATTGAGCAATGGGTGTCCTGCTGCTCACCTTGCATTTCCACCTTATCCAACCCCCGACTCTGAACTTGCAGACACATGGAGAGAGCAAATGAAGGGACCAAGCAGATGGTAGCAGCAAACATGGGGGTAACACCGCTATCTTACCAGCACAATGGCTGCTGCAATGCAAGCACTGAGGGGCAGCTCTTCCCCTGTTTGCTTGGGATTACTGCAGATGCCCATCTTCAGCTTTGCTGATTGATTTCCATCTACAGTCAAAGGCATTGTTGCAGGAATTTCTTGGACAGCCACCTGTCCTATTTTGTCTTTCTCAGTGCTCAAGTGATTCTCAACAGTCAGTAAGGTCATTCCTTTATTAGAAAACTACTGGAAAGCTGGGAAAACTATTGAAAAGCTGGGAAAAATACTGGGATTCTGGCAAGCAAGCAAGCAGGCTTTGTCTTCTTTTGAGAGGCAGCACAGGTTTGGGAGAGCAGAGATGCTTCCATTTGCATTTCCAGACACTCAATGGATGATTTAATATCATCAGCATTTGGAATAAGGGAGCTGGGACAGGCAGTTCAAAGGGTTCCTGGGAGAGAAAGGTGCCACAGCCTGTAAAGCACAAAGCCCACCTTGGGCTGGGAAGGGTCTGGGCTGAGGAGTGCTGAGGGCTTGACAAGTCACCTTGCACATTTGCTCTTTCCTTCTTCTATTCCCTGACCCTCATCTCCCATTTCCACTGGATTCAGGATGCTGAGCTGCACACAGCCCAGCTCTGACCCAAGATATGTGGTCGTTTTACTCATTTTCCTCCTGGTATCAGGAACATGGTGACCAATGAGCTGGAAACTGAGAACTGGAACTACAAGTCAGGACTCTTTCAGTACTCTGCAGAGCCTGGCCATAGCTGCCCCAAATCAAGCAGAAAATCGTGACTGAAAAGTCCTTCTGCATGACCCCTCCATGAGATTAATATAGATATCACTAACTTAATATCTAACATAGCAGATACATAGAAAACAACCTACCGTGAGAAGGAGCGGCACAGGATTCTGCTCACAGCCCCAAAGGGGCAGAGGAGTCTCAAATGCCTCTGCTGCAGTCTCAGACTGTCTGGGTTTATATGCTCTCCAGGGAGAGAGAGGTGTTTGATTTCCCAAGCAGGATTTGGGAATTTTCCCAGGAATTCAGACCACACCTTTGTTTGTCCAGAGGTTTTTTTTGTAAGGCCACGGGTGCAATTTTACTATTGAATAATCTCCCCCTTCCTTCTTATTCAACAGTTCGATATTTATTTTCAGGTGAGCTGGCTTGAGTTTCTTTCCCAAATCTTTCCTTCTGTGGTTGCCCTCCTGACTGACAGAAAATACTACACTGCTGCAAAATTCAATGCATGCATAAGCTCTGATTGCCCCTTGGAGCTCAGCAACTCCAGCCTAGGCTTTGCCTATTTATGTTAATTCTGAAACTCAGGAAAGATTTGGAATATTGGAGTCAATGGTGAAAAAGGAAGAAGAGCTTACCTTGAAGCAGAGTCTCAGAAAAGGCAGCTGAACCGTTCCTTCTGTCTTCTCCCTGGAGAAAGAACTGTATGAATGCCCAGGAGTGCCACTGCAATATATACCCAGTCCTAAATCTGCGCCTTCTTGTAAACAGAAAATTCCACAGAAAAGAGAAGTTTTCTATTTTCATTCAGGGGGTTTGTTCACACCCACCCCAAAATGTGTTGACAGCTGTTTTTCATAATTTCCTCAGAACTTCTCCCAAATTTAATCACTGGCAGCATGGTATGTCCGCATCAGTGAAATATATTCCCAGTAAAGAATTTGCCCTTTTTTATAAACATGGATTTCCATAGAAAAGAGAAGTTTTTGATTTTTATTTACAGAAGTTTGTTCATACCCACTCTGAAATGTGCTGACAGTTGTCAGAATTTCTCCAGAATTTCTCCCAACTTTGCTGACGGGCAGCAAGGTATGTCAGGATCAGCTAAGAGGGTCTGGTCACTTCTTTGGTCATTCCATCCATCCCACCAGCTGCAGCTGCTGCTGCTCCAGCACCTACACGTGTTTCTGTTCCCAAGAGAACAGCTCTGGTGACATTGGATGGACTGGCCTGTCTCTGAGTACACTCAGATATTCACAGTCTGCTCTTCTGCAGCCTCCCAGAACATCATTCCTATGATATCCTATAATTTCTTCTGTTTACAGAAGTCTCCAGGAATAATTGAATAATTAGTTTGTTGTTACAACCAGAAGTATCCAGATGAAGTGTGTTAGACCGAAGGTTGTTTAAACAAACTGGTTGAGTCCTGTGGTTTCTTTTTTCTCTGTTAACCAGGGACTGATATGTTAAACAAAGTGGGGATTAGCCAGAATGAGGGAGAAGGCCAAGAAGAAGCAGATCTGGTGGGGGTGGAGCAAATTCCTCCTTTCTGATGAGGCCCAACTGACATAACCAAGCAGGGCCCAGCAGTGGTCCCATCATCAGAAGGGTCCATAAACAATCAAAGACCCACAAAGTGTTCCCCAACCCCAAAGTGCTGCATGACACAGTGTGAAACACCTCCCAGGGGGAAAGTTGGGCAATCACACATAATCCTGAATGCACAGAACCCATTGAACTCTTTGTTGCACAGGACCCCACTCCCAAAGGATCAAGTATGACGACACCAAAATTTGAAGTCTCATTGCAGGAGCCATGGAGATATCTTGTTAGAGCTGTTGGCACCCTGGCCCACTTTGTTCATGCTCATTTGTAGGAGAAGTAAGTGGAGTCTGATGCTGATGCTTGTGTGGATGTTATGGCATCCTCTGGTTGTGTTTGGACACCCAACCTCCAGTGAGCACGGGCACTGTTACTTTCCTGCTGGTGGAAATTTCCGTGGGAAGCAACTTGTGGTTTATATGAGGTGAACCTGCAATCCATCATGGTAGCAACTAAACTTTGTTGTGAATGCCTGTGTTGGGTCTGACCGAGGTGAAGGTCACAACCCTTACAGTGCTGTGCTGGTAGCTGTCCAGGTGTTGATAAGAGACCAGTGCAAAGCAGCACTGGCCCTCTGTGGGAATCCAGAGCTTCCCTCTGGCTGCCCTGGAAGGTCTGGGACCCTGGCAGGGGTCAGGAACCCCCTGTACAGAGCCCCCAGAGACACTGTCTGTGATCTCTGTCCATGGAAAAGAGTTTTCAATCTTACAGGATGAGTTACCAGCTCTGAGTGTTTGATATAAGTAATAATTAAGTGTGGCACGGGTGCAAAAGTAAAATTTTAGGATTCTAGATAAGGGGTCCAAAGGGGACAAGATGGAGGAAATTGGGTGTGTCTTGTCCTTTTTCTCCTTCTTGTTGGTTCAGGCTGGGGACACACTGTTCAACGTAGGTGACAGATATTGGCACGTTATTGTAAATCCAGCACAGGTAGTTTCTGGTATTTAATGTTTGTAACATCCCACTGAGGGCAGAGCCCCACACGCTGCCCTGCAGGACAGAGCTGCGGCAGGGCAGCAGAACGTGTTATAGATAAACAGAATAAACAACCTTGAAACCAGCACAGACAAATTATGGCTTCTGCTTTGGCAACGGGGCTGAAAGACAGAGACTTTCTACAATCTCAGAATCATCAATAGCACAGATTCCGACAGCCCTAGACATTCCTTCCCCCACCAAGGGGGATGGGAGTGGGCAAGATCCTGGGAGGGGACACAACCAGGCCAGCTGACACAGATTAACCAAAGGGATTTTTCATATCATATGACTTCAGCTCAGATATATAAGATAAGGGAGAGAGGAGGAAGGGTTGGGGGAGTGTTGCAGCATTTTTGAGAGAAAGAGGGCATGAATTGTGAAAGTTGAGCTACTCCAGTCTAGGCCTCAGATTGAGGCCTGGTGGGGCCTTCAAAGCCTCTGACGCAGTTAGAAATTCAGAGCTTGTGGCGCAGATAGAAAATAGTCTTAAGGTGTTGTGGGGACCACTGGGTGTGAACTAGTATAGGTTTTATGGTGTAAAGTGTAGGCCGTTTTAAGGAAAAGGTAAACAATGTTAAGCTACCAATTAGAGTGTCTTTGTTTCTGTAAACTATGTAGAAGCTTATATAAACTACCGCCTGATTTGGAATAAACGGAGAACGTTGCATTAATCATATTGATTGGATGTGCGTTTGTCTTGTCCAGTTTCCCATTTTCCTGAGATTCCCTGGCTTTAGGGGAGTGTATGTGAGTTTTCAGTGTTGGTCTTCTGGAGGAATTGTGCCCTGCTTCCCAGGAAGTATCTGAACATCATTGCTGTTATGAAGTAGAGATTGACTTTTGCTCTCTTTAGCTCTTGCACACCAGGCACACACCTTCCTCGAGTGTTTGTGTGTTGAGATTCCTCTTTGGAGTGGAGATGCCTCTCAAGGTCACTTCTTGAGACTGAGCCAATGAGATTTGGTCATGGTCATTGGTATGGGTGGTCTCTAATTGTTTTTGCTGGTTTTAATATAACTGCTTTAATATATTTGCTTCAATACTGCTTCATAACACACAATATTATACTAGTAGTTCTAGCTTCTATGCTGTGAACTAAATAATTCTGATTAACATATTTTTGCCTTATCATTATAATCTTAAATCATATATAATTATGTAAATATGTATGGTTTGGAATCCTCAAGCCTATGGGACAAGTTGTATAAAGTTTCAATTACATCAGTATAATACTTTAGATATAAACAGTTGACAAAATCTAGGGCTAAGACTGGATCCAGCTGAACCCAGACAGCTCCCTGAGAAGGAGTTTACCAAGCCAAGGGTTCATTTCTGCAGCTCATGACTTAACAGGAAGACTTCTCTATTAACCTTTGACTGAAGCTCCCATTCTGCCCACAAAACCACTTTCAAGGAAAAGGGACCCCCTCCAAGATCCCTAAATGTTCATGGTCAAAAGGAACAAAAAAAAAAATCAAAAGATATGTAAAGTTCCACAAGGTTTTATTAGTAAATTACACACTTGGGATGGAAATTGTTATGTTAGTCCCTAAACTACTCTATAAGCAGGTGGCAGAAGGTACTCTTTTATATATACATTTTCCTGACCTGAAGACAGGTTTCTCACTTCCTAATGGAAACTAGATAGCATGTGAAGTTTGCTCCCTCAGACCTTCCTGGAAATGAATGAGAGGCCTTTGGGAGGCTTGGGTTGTCTTGTTCCCTTCTACAGACCATTTGTCCCCCTCTATTCTGTTCTGGTGAGACCCCAGCTGCAGTGCTACCTCCATGCTCTGGGATCCACAACATAAGAAGGAGACAAAACTGTTGGAGTGGAGTCCGGAGGAGGCCACAGACATGCTCCAAGAGCTGGAGCACATCTGCTCCAGAAAGAGGGTGAGAGAGCTGAGGGTGAGGGAGCCTGGAGAAAAGAAGGCTCCTGGGACAACGTGGACCCCTTCCAGTGTCTAAAGGGTTTTGAAAAAGAGAGGGACCTTGGACAAGGGTATGGAGTGACAGGACAAGAGGCAATGGCTGTAAACTGAAAGCAGGTGGGGTTACATTAGATGTTCGAAGAAATTCTTTACTGTGAGGGTGGTGAGGCCCTGACAAAGGTTGTCCAGAGAAGTTAAGGCTGCTCCATCCCTGGAAGTGTTCAAAGCCAGGCTGGACAGGGCTTGGAGCCACCAACGATAGTGGAAGGTGTCCCTGGCCATGGTTCAGGAGCTGAGGCTACATGGATGGTCTTTGAAATTCCTTCAAACCCAAACCATTCTGTGATTCTATGACATGTGGCAAAAGTTCCTGACCCTGTTCCACCCAGGATGTTGAGACTTATTCCCGGGGACAGTCACTGTCAAACAGGGAAACCTGTCCCCTCCCATAGAGCTCAGTTAAGGTGTCCTCCAGCTCCCCCAGGGTGAGGAGCTGAACCTGGTTCTTGTCATTCACAGCGATGACCGCCCAAGACTTTATGTAGTTGTTGTCCACCACGCAGCAGGCAGCTGACCAGAGGTGGCTGGGTTTATTAACCCTCCCCTTGGCGATGTAGTTGTTCCCAGGCACAGCACCCGTGATGGCATAGGTGGTTTTACAGCCCTGGGTGCTCCTGATCATGGTTTGCTGCTCGTAGTTGTTCCAGGCGCCGCCGTTGAGTCTCTCATCCTGGGGCACTATGTTGGTGAGGGTGAAGGTAGCCATCCTGCTGCTGTAGTCATCGTGGTGGCCATTGGGGTTCAAATGGCCCCGGTTCAACCCTGTCAGGTTCTTGTAGTCATGAAGGATAGCCTGGCTCTGGCTGAGTTTCTCTAAGGTGACATTGTATCGATTTAAGAGTGTCCACTCTTTTTCCATAGTTTTGGGATAAGCTGGGCCAATCAGCTTGACACGAAAAAAAGAGGAAAAGGTGTTAGTATTGGGGATGAGGATAATTGAACAGACATTTCTAGAGCAGATGTTTCTGAGTGTCAAGATCCTGTTTTTTGTCTGCTCCTAATGTGGTACAATACCAGATTAGTTACTTGAGTTCCTATGAGGAACTGAAAGTGCAATCAAACTGCAAATACTTTTTTCTTCCAGAAATTCATTTCACATTTAGTGCATTATATTTAGCTTTCCTTTGTAACACTGCATGTGGGTTTCTTCTGTGGTTCATTTTCATGTAAATCAATCCTGCCCCTCTATCCTTACCAATGACATGAATTTCCTCTTTTTGTGCCCGTTATTTCCTTGGCCTGTTTTCCTAAAATTCTGAAGCTTGACTAAAAGACATCTGGGAAAGCTGTGTTGGTTTTGGAGTTCTGTCTGACTGCTGGATCCTTCTGGACCAGGCCTGAGCCAAAGGTGCTCAGGGGTCACTGCCCATGGATGGAGATCACCCCCTTGTGAATGGACCAGCACTGATGCTCCTCACTTTTCACTGCCTGAACTGTCACTCCAGAAATCCCTCCCCAGCTAACCTGACCCTCTCAGCTCCAGTGCCTTTTCCCCTGGGCCATCTCAGCCCCTTCTGAGTTTCTCCTCACTTCTCTCACACCACTCACAAAGCGTGTTTGACTCTTCACAGGGAGCATGTTAACTCTGTCAGGGATGCAGAACAGCTCAGGGCAAAGTGGGGATCAGACCCCAGCAGGGCTGTTGGTCCCTCAAGTTTAGCCTCTCCTGGGTGCCTTTTCCCCATCACTTGGTCACCCAGCACAGCAGGGCACAGGGAGGGGAAGCATTTGACTTTGTGATGAATGCAAAGTAACCTGATTTGCTGTTCCTGCCAGGTGAAGGCAGAGAGCTGGGCACCTTTGGGATGTGATTCATCTCATCCTCCTGCTGATGTCTCAGATGCATCAGAGGAATCATGTGGTGCAGGAGTTTGAAGTTTAATGAGAAGAATCCTGTCCAGTGTGTCCATTTGCATGTGTGTAGGGAAGTGGGAGGAAATATAAAAGTTGGGTTAAATGCTGCAGCTCATTTCTGGAGTGGCTGGAGGGTGATGTTCTGTAGGAGAGACACTCACCTGGGGCTCAACCAGCCATGTTTTAGGTCTTTTGCCAGGTCCAGGCTGGTAGATGTAAGCAGAGTAGACAGGAATACGCATGTTCCTGTCGTACAGGGTGGCAAAGTAATACCGGTTCTGGTAGCGCTGGCAGATCAAGGCTGGGTTCTGTGGCTCCAGAGCTTTGTTTGGGGGGATCTCCCGGAAAAAAAACTGAGGACATGAAGTTTCAAAGGATGTCACCACCTCGCCGTGTCCCAGCCAGAGGCAGCTGGCCAACACCTGCAGCAGCAGCAGCCCCAGCATCGTGGGAGGAATTCAGTGAAGGGCTCTTGCTCCCCTGGAAGGCAAATGCAGAGGAGGGGACTGTAAGAGACCAAGGAGGGGCTAAGTTCTGTCCCCCTGGATATGGAAAAATCATCAGCGCTATAGGGTTGTGCAGGGAGATGACTGGGGATAAAAGGATAATGGTAGAGAAGTTACAGGGGAAAATATAGTTGATTGTCCCTGGATGAAACACAGTCAGCATACCTGGCCTCCCACAAACAAAGAGGACTAAATCTAAAGTGGGCCTAAACAGCAGATGGAGAGGAGTGGAGATATTAGGGCCAGGCTCTGTCAAAACCCTTGCAGAGGAGATACCTCGGTGGTATTTTCTGGCTGATCATCTCTGTGACATCTCATGAAAACCATGGGAGACAAATGAAGATGTCCTGCTGCTGAATCAGCAACCATGGCAAAATTCCTCCCCTCAGACTGATGCACATCCCCATCCCAAGGTTACTGCAGGTACTTTATTGAGGTATCCACCCCCAAGGCATGAGAGGCCCTCACTGAGAAAGATGTATGACTACATGGAAACACCACCTAAATGTAAATAAATAGTATAAAAGGGAATTAAAAATTGAGAGAAGCGATGGAAGACTCCACTGTAACTTCTGGGATCAGTTGATGGGCTGAACCTGCCCATCTCTCCCTTAGGGATGCCTATTGAGTAAGAATCCTGCTTCATGCATGCTGAATGATTACCTCAAGCCAGCTTTTGATGGGGATTAAAGCTTATTAGTATGTTGTTCTGAATTCGTATCTCACTTTGAATATCTTTTTGCAGTCAGATACCTTCACTGGCAAGTCTCAAAACTCAGCCTGTTACAGTTTTATTAATAGTGTTATTCTGTAAACAGTTAAAGTGAGTCCTTCAGGGGCTCTGGCACTTTCTGGCAGTGGCTAAAGATGCAGAGACCCAGGAGGGGTTTCTCTGGTTGGTGTGTGACTCTGAACAAGTCAGTCAAACCCTCCAACCCAGAGACCTGCTCAGTGAAGGGTCCCTACCACGGGACACCAACAGACTGAGAAGGTTTTGGCTTTTATGTGGCATTGACAGACTGAACACACCCTAAAGGTTTGAGCAAATCTCCCTTTTCACATGAGAGGGTGAAATCTAAAATGGGTTTTAGGGTGCCCAGTGGAGGCAATGATGGGGGCATAGTCTGTCTGGGGGGTGTTCCAAACCCACCCAATGCCTAAACAATTCTCATGGCAAAGTTATCATGGAACTGAGATATGGCACTGAGCCAAGGTCACCTTTTCCAGCCTACCTCAGTTGGTCAAGAGCTCAGCTTTTGCACTGGCACTGGAGAAAAAATCCTTCTACAAAACAGGGCTGGGAAGCCCCTGCTTCCAAACACGATCTCATAAAATCACAGAAGAAACTGAGTTGGAACGGACCCATGAGGACCATCAAGTCCAACTTCTGGCCCTGCACAGGACAGCCCCAGAAATCCCACCATGTGCCTGACAGTGTTGTACAAACACATTTCGTACTCAGGCAGGTATGGTGATGTGACCACTTCCCTGGGGAGCCTGTTTCAGGGCTCAGCCACCCTGGGTGAAAAACCTCTTCCTGATATCCAGCTTAAGTTTTCCCTGACTCAGTTTCAGGCCATTCTCATTCCCTTCTGCTCTCAGCACCTTCCCACAGCAGACCCTGCAGCTGGGCACGGACTCTGCTCAGCCCCCTGCATTGAGCAGACAAAGAACAGCAATGCTGCACTTCCTACATGTCCCTGGCCCCAGCCAGGTTCACACAGACACGCAGCTCTCCCAGTCAGACCCAATTCTGAGCCCCAAATGATCCACCTGGGGTCCTGCCTCTGAGCTGACATTGGGGTGTTAAGCTACATATACCCCTGGCTCTGATGCAAGACATCTGGTCCTTTTTCTCTTTAGCAACCCCAGACCAGGAACACTGTGACCAGTAAGCTGGAAACTAAGAACAGGAACTACAAGTGCTGACTTTTTACAGTACTCTGCAGAACATGCCCATATCTGCCCCAAATCAAGAAGAGAAGTTCCTGAAAAGTCCTTCTGCATGACCCCCTCCAGCTTAAAATATATTTAACTAACTTAATATCTAACTTAATATCAGACACATAGAAACCAGCCTACCGTGAGAAGGAGCGGCACAGGATTCTGCTCACAGCCCCAGAGTAGCAGAGGAGTCTCAAATGCCTCTGCTGCAGTCTCAGACTGGCTGTTTCTATATGATCTCCAAGTAGGCAGTTGTTAGATTTCCCACAGTGTTTAGAGGGAGTTTGTCCAGGAGTTCAGCCACCTGTGTTTGTCCAGAGGCCTCTTGCAAGGTCACGGATGGAGTTTTGGTGCTCAATAAACTCACCCCTCCTTCTTATTGAACAGCTGATATTAATTTTCCAGGTGACTTGACTTGAAATTCCTTCCCAAATAATTGCTTCTGTGCTTGACCTCCTTTACAGGAAGTGTTAAAGAGCTGCAAAATTCAGTGCATGCATAAAGTCTCCTTGGAGAGATGTTGGAACTCAGCAACTCCAGCCTAGACTTTCTCTCTATATATTCATTCCAAAGCTCAAGAAAGTCTTGAAATACTGGAGTAAATGGTAAGAAATGAGCAAGAGCTTACCTTGAAGCAGAGTCTCAGAACAGGCAGCTGAAGAGTTCCTTTCTTCTTCTCCCTGAAGAAACACTTGGCTGATCCCTCAGGAGTCCCAGTGCATTATATATACCTGGTCATAAATCTGCCTGTTGTCATACACAGGGAATTTCACTGAAATGAAAGGTTTTCTGTATTATTCAAGGAGATTAGTTCACAACCACCCTGAAATGGGGTGACAGTTGTTATTTGCAATTTCCTCAGGATTTCTCCCAGGTTATTGCAGCATCACATGCCAGGAGAAAATAACTGGGTCTGGTGACTTATCTGTTAGTTTCCTCATTCCTCACGAATGGGGACCTACACGTGTTTCTGTTCCTGGCAGAACATCTCTTGTGGCATTAGGCTGACTGGCCTGTCTCTGAGTACACCCAGATGTTCAGTCTGCTCTTCCACAGCCTCTCAGAACACAATTAGTAGGGTCAGGCTGCATATTTTCCCTTGCCTGATTGCAAAGGCTTTTTAAGAGCCCTTATTCATGCAAAGCCTTCTGCTGAGAAGGCTCTGGGAGGCCTTAGAGTCCCTTTCAGTACCTGAGAGTGGTTCACATGGAGAGGAACTTTTGAGAAGGGTTTGGAGTGACAGGACAACAGGGAGCAGCTTCAAAATTACAGAAGGCAGAGCTAGATTAGATGTTAGGATTAGATTTTAGTCTTGAGTAGAGCAGGCTCAGTACAATTACCTAAAAGGAGGTTGTAATGAGATTGAGGTTGGTCTCGTCTACCATGCCAATAGAGAGAGGACTAAGAGGAAAAGGCTCTAAGATGAGACAGGGGAAATTCAGATTAGATATTAGAAAAAAAATATTTCCAGACTTCATGTGGTGAGGCAATGGAAAAGGTTGCCCAGAGAGGTGCTGGAGTCACCATCCCTGAAGTGTTTCAGAGGCATTTGGATTTGGCACAGGTGATATGTATTAGTGGTTTAAGGTTTACAGTTTTTGGGTACTTCCAGGGGTAAAGGTCCCCAGGACAGCCCAAGGAGGGGATGGAGGTGGGATTCATGGGGTTGGTCAATCACCCATAGTTCCAGAGCCTGGAAAGTGGAAGCAGTGGGCATGGAATGAGCAGGGGTGAAGATGAGTGTGGTCTCAAGCCCCAGCTGATGTGCAGAGGTGGGTGAGCGAGTCAGAGGGAGCCCTCTGAGGTACAGCAGAGATGTCTGCTGATGTCTCTCAGCCTGAAATAGTACTGATGTTCTGGGAACTGTGACATTGTGGGTAGTAGAAATTTCAGCAAGAAACAACTTGTGGTTTATACATGAGATGACCCTGCAAACCAGTACTGCAGCAAATAATTTTTATGGTGAACTACTCAGGAACTAAATTATCTATTTTATGATGATTTTTTGATTATGACATTGAATACATTGAATAAATTGAATACATTTTCACAAATCAGTTGCCTGTAATTTTGCAGAAAAGCTTCAGAAGCAGAGCAGAGAATGAAGGTATCCAAGCAGTGCATCACAGAAACTTATCTTTGACTGCTCAAAGTTTCCTTTATATCTAATGTCTCATCCTGCCTGTCTGATACCACAGCTGCTGCTCTCAAGGTGCAGTTCCAAAAGCAGGCAAACAAAACCATGTCTCAGGATCACAGAATCACTGAACTGTTGAGTGTGAGAGGGACATCTCAGGATCTTCTAGTCCATACCCTTGGGTCAAGGAGGATCATCTAGAACAAGTTGTCCTGAATCTTGTCCTTGCACATGGAGTGCTGTGTCCAGCTCTAGGGCCCACAACATGAGAAGGAAAAAAAACATATTGGAGTGGAGTCCAGTGGAAGCCACAAAGATGTTTTAAGGTCTGGAACATCTCTGTTCTGGAGTCAGGCTGAGACAGCTGAAGGTGTCCAGCCTTGACAAGAAAAGGCTGTGGGAGAAGTTGGACCCCCTTCCACTACCTAGATGTTCACCAAAAGATCTGGAGAGGGATTTTGGACAAGAGCATGGAGTGACAGGACAAGAGGGAATGGTTTCACACTGACAAAGAGCAGGGTTACATGAGATGTTAGGGAGAAATTCTATACTGAGGGGGTGGTGAGGTGCTGTAACAATGTGAGCAGAGAAGCTGTGGCTGTCCCATCCCTGGAAATGTTCAAGGCCAGGCTGGATGGGCCTTGGAGCAACCTGGTGTAGTGGAAGGTGTCACTGCAGAGGGAAAGGGATGGAACAAGATGATCTTCAAAGTCCCATAAACCACAAAGCATTCTGTGATCCTATGACATGTGGGAAAATCTCACGAGCCTTTTCCACCCAGGATATGAGGTTTGCTAGCGGGGACAGGCACTGTGGAACAGAGAATCCTGTCCCCTCCCGTAGAGCTGGGACAAGTGTGTCTCCAGTTGTGCCAGTGTGAGGTTCTGGACCTGATTCTTGTTGTTTTCAGCAATGACTGCCCAAGTGTTCATCCTGGTGCTGGTCTGGCAGCAGGCAGCTGACCAGATGTGGCTGGGCACATTAACCCTCTTATTGGAGCTGTAGTTGTTCCCAGGCACAGCACCGTGATCACGAAGGTGATTTTACAGCCCTGGGTTTTCAGAGCCATCGTTTGATTCTCGTAATCTTTCCACTGGCCCTTGTTGAGTGTGCTGTGCTGGGGCACTGTGTTGGTGAGGGTGAAGGTAGCCCACTTGCTGTTGTTGCCACTTTGGTGGCTACTGGGGCTCAGGTGACCACGGTCCAAACCCTGGAGCCTGTTGTAGTCTTGGTTAATAGCCTGACTCTGGCCAATTTGCTGTGGAGTGATCTTGTATTTCTTTTCAACGGAGCTCTCTGTATCCATATCTTTGTCATAAGTTGGGTTGATCAGCTTGACAGGGAAAGAAGAGGAAAAGGTGTCAGTAGTGAGGATGTATGTAATGAAACAGATTTCCTTGGAGCAGAAGTCTCTGATAGTTAAAATTCCATTTTTGGTCATCTCAGTGTAGGAAAAGGTAGGAATCTGAGAGAAATCATACACATCTCTCCTGCATGAATGCAAGAGCTTTAAAAGCAAGCAGCTCAGAATCTGACTGCTCTCAGTTTGACATGTTTCCTTTGTGATCCAGCCTGCAGCCTGTGCTGGGAGCATGGATGGATGCATGAGACAAGGAGCACTTCCCACTTTGAGGACTGAAAGGTGACTTTGGTGAGACACCTCCCCTGCCAAATCTGCTTCCCTTTCCTCCTGTCTCCACAGCCCAAACCTGCCCAGGGCTCTCCCTGGATCCCCTCACACCTCACAGTGATTGTGTGATTCTGTGATTTTATGTGTGGTTGCTACAGGTGTACCCCAGTCCTGGAACACCAGAATTTACCTCCTTTAACCCTATACCCAGGGAGATGTGTCAGGACATCAGTCCAGGAGCTGAGATTTCCCTGGGAGAGCTGCAGTTTGCTCAAGAATGAACAGTTTTTCTCGGTAAGCAAAAAGATCTCAATGTGAACGGAATCTGTTACAGCAGTGCTGAGAATGTGTCTCGGAGCTGATCTGGGCCAGGGAGCATTTTCTGCAGCATCATTGATATGAAATTAAAAAACATCAGCTTCTGAGAGAAGCCTGTAACCTCAAAAGAGTCCTGGGGAAACTAAATACTCCAAAAAGGCCTCAGGAGAAAGTTATCAAAATCAAGTGTTTTTTCAGGTATCCTGTGTCCAGGGCTTAGGAAGATAAGGCCAATGATGGGTTTGGAGCATGCTGGTTCACCCAGCACAGCAGGGCACAGGGAGGGAAAGCATTTGACTTTGTGATGAATGCAAAGTAACCTGATTTGCTGTTCCTGCCAGGTGAAGGCAGAGAGCTGGGCACCTTTGGGATATGATTCATCTCATCCTCCTGCTGATGTCTCAGATCCATCAGAGGAATCATGTGGTGCAGGAGTTTGAAGTTCAATGAAAAGAATCCTGTCCAGTGTGTGCATTTGCATGTATGAAGGGAAGTGGGAGGAAATAGAAACATTGGGTTGAATCCTGCAGCTCATCTCTGAGTGGCTGGAGGGTGATGTTCTGTAAGACACTCACCTGGGGCTCAACAAACCACGATTTAGATCTGCTTCCAGGTCCAGGCTGGTAGATGCAAGCAGAGTAGAGAGGAGTATGCATCTTCCTGTCGTACAGGGTGGCAAAGTTATACTGGTTCTTGTAGTGCTGGCAGATCCAGGCTGGGTTCTGTGCCAGCAGGGCATTACTTGGAGTAGCATTGTTGTAGAAAAACTGAGGACTTGCAAAGGATGTCACCACCTTGCTGTGTTTCAGCCAGAGGCAGCTGGCCAACACCTGCAGCAGCAGCAGCCCCAGCATCGTGGGAGGATTTCAGTGAAGGGCTCTTGCTCCCCTGGAAGGTAAATGCAGAGGGACACTCAGCTTGGAGAGAGCTGGTCATGGCCTGTGCAGGTGGGACAGAGCTGGCAGAGGAGCAGTCTATTCCCACTGCTCATTCATTGACCACTAAATTGGAATCATTTTCCTCCACTTCCAAAACTCCAGGAATACAGTAACAACATGTTGGTTGTTATAACCAGATATGAGCAAAAGGAGTAATGAATCTCTCAAACTCCTGAGGTCTATAAGCTCACAGTTTTGCATTTCACTGTTTCTTTTTATCAAAATCTGTGCTCCAGTGCTTATTTACTGGATCTTCTCTGCCTTTTAAGTTAGTGGAGGCACTGCCTACATGTTGCCCTGAGCTGTGCACTTTCTGGATGAAAGATGTTCAGTGAGGGGAGTGATCCACCTCCCCTGTGATCTTTTCCCCAAGAAAAACCTCAGTTTCTTTAGCTTGTAAAAAATTCTCTTGGATCCTCCAGTATTCTTACAGTTGTTAGATCACAGATTCCTACATGAAGTACTTTTGGTAAGTTTTCCATATCATGGTAGAAAAAAACCCAGGATTTGCAGCACTTTTTTAGGGAAAATGTTTTGAAGTCTGGATCTGGCTTCTCCCAGTGGATGTTCTCCCGATTTCTCCTTCAGTTTTCTTTCTATCAGATGCTAAAGGCAGCAGTCCAACCTCATGCTCAGAGCAGGGCAAGCTGTGATGTAGCTGAGCAAATGCAGGGAAATGGAAACAGCTCTTATGACTGCAGTAGTGGAAAAAGGGGGTTTTGAACATGAGGGAAGTACTGTTTTCTGCTTTAGTGACTGGACATGGCACTCAGGTTGACAAGGTGGTGATTGATCAAAGGTGTGACTTGATGATCTTGGACATCTTTTCCAACCTAAATGATGCTGTGATTTTGCTGAAAAAAAATGAGATGTCATCAAAGCCTTCTCCTGTGTTTTCAGTCCCTGTAGAATAAGGAAGTGAACAGCTGAAGAGATACTAAGTGCAAGGAGGGCTGCAGTCTTCGGGGCAAAGTAAATCACAGCAGCAGAAGCCAAATGCACATGAGAAAACAAAATGCAAGGAGGAGAAATGTTGCTTGGACAGACGTATTGAGGAGATTTGTGCTCTTCTGGACTGTTCTCCTTCAAGGGCAGCAAAGATCCCATGGCCATAGATCCCATGGATCTGTGAGTGAGGACAGAGAGGGAGTGTAGACACTCTTTACATCAGCCAGGCTGGTGATACACACAGGTCTCACTTTACATGCCAAGTATCTTCATAGAATCACAGAAAGAATCATGGAATGGTTTGGACTGGGAGGGACCTTAGGGATTATCCATTTCCAAGCCCCCTGTTTTGACACCTTCCACTAGACCAGGTTGCTCAAAGTCCAATCCATCCTGGCCTTGAACATTTCCAGGGATGAGGCATTCACATGTTCATCTTTGCCAGGTGTACAAATGAGAGTGGATGGGTAAAACACTGACCCAATCAGACCAAAAATTAGAGGTTCACAGAAAAGGCAACAGCTGCTTCTTCTGTTCTTCCCCTGTGTCCCAGAAGTGACCCTAAAGCACCTCTGCTGTGCAGGTCTCCCTCAAGGAACATTTTCTATGTGAAAAATAGATCCCTTGTCCAGAGCCATATGAAAAGTATCAATTTTATGGAGAAAAGTGCAAGGAAAAGGGAAGGATATAAAAGCTTGACTATGTTACTAAATCCCCCCCAAGGACAGCAGATATACATTATACATATTAAACAATATTCCTCAAGCCTTTCTATGCAACACTCCAAATGCTGGCCCATGGCAATCCTTGAATTTTGGAGATAAATGCATTTAATACATTTTTTTCCTCACAAGAATCAACAGCTTTTTTAATATTGTACAGTTCAGCTGAAAAAGTTGGTGTGGGATTTGTATATCTTTGATTACATTAACTCCACCAGACCAGGTGCCACAGTCCCTTTGCAGGCACAGCAGGTAACACTGAGGTGACAGAGGGGTCACCACCTTGCTACTAACACTCACAGCTGAGAGCTGTCAGGCTCCCTGTGGTTACACTCTTTCAGTTTCTTTTGGCTTTTGAGGCCAAAAATCAGTATATTATTTTCACTTTCAGATCCTCAAGTGTCAAAACCTCTGAACTGCATAAGACAGAGGCAGTGAGCATCCAACACAGGGGGGTACAAGCCAGGTTTTGAGCCAGATAAAGGAAAAGATAAAGAAGGTCACACTCACACCTGAAGGTTTTCATCCCTTCTAATGGGACATAACAGCCTCAACTGCCCTGATGTGAGAGGCAGCTGAGAACAGGTCATAAACTATCAAAGACCCCCTGAAGTGTCCCCAGACTCATTCCTGAGGTCTTCCACCAAAGCTCCTCCCCTCAGGTGAGGTACCTGGGCATTCTCATCCAGCCTGAGCATATTTCAACTCACTGGACTTTTTGTTTGGGGACTTTTCCCCCAATGGATGAAGACTGTGACCATCACGTCAACCAAGAGACATCAAATTAACAACAATAAAATCTTGTCCCTGGATCCACAGGTGATGAGGTCTTTCTATTCTTATCCTTTCTTTCTCTTTCTTTTTTTTTTCCTTTATGTATTTTTAAAGTGATATTTTAATGGATATGTATGGATATGTATATATATATAAACCATATAAATATGGATATATATATGGAGATATAGATATATAGAACATGGATATATAATATGGATATGAATAACGATAATACTAACAAAAATTACTACATACCTTCTTTTCCATTGCAACCAAATTGTTCTAAAATAAACCCATATACATATATATTCTTAAAAACACTGGTTATTCAGTGTTGTTTCACTTTAGTCCACCCCAAGGGATCTGTTAACAAGAACCTGGGTTATCCTTTGCTTCTGGTCTCTCATATTCTGAAGTTGTCCTCAGGTAAAATGGAAGTCCCAGAGTATTAAAGCAACTCTGGAGCCTGAATTCTGAATTTGTGGAATTTTCTTTCCACCATGCAGTGATAACAACACACTTCCCCATAAGCTATACTAGCAGTCATGACTTCATTTCAATTTCAGTCACATTTTGGTCTGTATAGAAATTAATCCGTGCTGTGGTTTTATACAGATATATTCTTAGGAGGATGAAATACCTTTACTGATTAATACAACCTGCTTCTAAAGCCTCCTTTGATTTTTCTTCCTGGAAGTTGTTTGTGCATTAGGATTTCACCATGTATGTGGACTCCCAAATGCTGCTGCGATTTGGCTGCTTTGAAGTTGCCCTCAGCTATGCTAGCAAGGTGGTCTGAGGCATGGAGCACATACCTCTGGAAAACAGGGATTCAGACTTGCTGAGTCTGGCCAAAGGGAGGCTGAAGGGCAGCCCAACAGCCGCCTACAGCCACTCAAAAGGTCAAGAACACCAAAGCTGAGCTCTCTGTGGCAGAGCCAGGCTCTGTAACAAAGGGCAGCACGCACAGACTGGCTTGGGAGGTTGCACAGCAGGATAAAAATTGCCTCTAGGCACCTACTGCAGCACTGGAATAGGTTGGGGAAATGCCATATGATGAATTGCAGGGGTGACTCAAGGCTTAGCTGGATGAAAACACAGATGAATTAAGAGTCCTGCGGCTGGTGCTGCCAAACAGCATTTCTTTGATCCTGTGGTAGATACACCTCCTATCTTCTCCCCATCCCACCCCACCCTGGCCTGCCACACTCAGATATTGCCTGGAAAATTATGTCAACACAGACCAAATCCTCTGGTCCTGAGAGTTGTACTTTTAAGTCTTTCTATAGCCCAAAGTCATAAAAAACACACCACATACCTCAGAGAGCCAGGAGGAGGACACACTTCAGAATCCTGGTTCAGACTCTTCTGGGGAAAAGACAGCAACTAGATGAGACCCTAGCCACTCATTTCTTTCCCTAAGGAGAGCCTGATCTTTTTCAGCAGTGTCTGCACCAGTTTGGTTCCTCTGCTCACCATCCCCACACTCCAATAAATACAAGCTTTGCTACTGCACATTAGTTATGCCAAGGGTAATTAGCAGTTGCGTCAACATGATTTCCAGTTTGACTGCTGGCTGACTCCATGTGGAAATGAGGTTCTTAATTGCAAAAGGAAATATGTCAGACCAGGCTTCAGAGGAAGAGCCTTGTTGCTCATGAGGAAAAGCAGCCCTTGTGCTCAGGGGCTGTGCCTTGGTCATCCCTGCTGGGCTTGGCATCCCCTGGAGCCCGTGGATGTGGCACGGAAGGGAGGGACAGCTGTCTGCAGTGGGCAATGCTGATCTCCTCTTCACCTCTGAAGGTGTCACTCAGAGCTCACTGCCCTCAGCCAGAAAAGATGTGATCATGCTGTGTTGTAGGAGGTGGCAGACTCAAATCCTGGCCTTATTAAGAACAAGTCCTCATTACAATGATTTCACAAGAAACTGGCCCTCGAGGGTAGACCAACACAAACAGCTGTAGGAACTTGCTCCTGGCTCGCCCCATCTCAATGACTTGTAGTCCCAGGAGCTCTGGTTTTGGCTAAGCAGGATTCACCCTGTTTAAGGGTTGGTTCTCAGCACTCCCTGTAGAGTCAATACAAGAGGAATATCCACATTTCCAGGGCACAGCTCACATCTGGAAGATGAAGGGAATTGCACTCTAAAAGTGTTTCTTCCTCTCTGATGACCATGAGGATTCACAGAGGGCCAAGCTCTGACTTACACCTCCAACATTACATGAGCTGAGTCCTGCTTTTTATGTTGCCATCTCTAAATCCATGTCTGTATCACATTACTTAGCCAAAGCATAACAGAAAAATACAAAAGCCATCCATTTCCAAAGCCCTTTCCTTCTGGACAGACCTTCAAATCAAACAGCCTCTCCTCATTCATTTTCTTGATGTGTCAATCCAGAAGGAATTTCAGGGGAGGAATTTCAGGGACAAGCTTTCCTGTCTGGAAGGATGTTTTCTTGAGAGCACAAGAAATAATCAGCATTGCAAGGAACAGGAGGGAAGGATGCACTTCATGCAATTCAGTCTGAGTGTTCTCAGACCAAGATATTTTATGTGATTACAGAAGACAACAGAGGATAAGGAACAGAGATTATTTTTCTTACTTCCTGGCAGGGTTAGCTGTGTGTTTTAGGCCTTACTCAAGACCAAAAGAGCAGATAGCACTACAAGATCACCTGGTTTGAAAATGAGCTCATGTTAAACTGTCCGCAGACTAGATGCAAATTTGGGTTCTTGAGAACTGAAGTCAAAAGTTTTTTGTGCAGGTGACTTGCTCTGAGTCAGGCCCCCAGCTGGACTAAGAGCCAGCTCATGGATGCAATGAAGCAAGTCAAAAGTCACCTTAGGCCATGTCTGGGCTCCCCTTGTGATCCAGCCTTAGTCTGCAACGCTCCTCTTCCCTTTCAAACAGGTGAGCTCAGAGGGGACCTGTGATGCTTCCTTTGTGACTTGGTTTTCTGCTGCAGATACCATTTCATGGGACGTGACCATTGCCAACGGGATATGTGAGAAAATCCTGAGTCTGGATGCTATGGATGCCCAATTTTATGCTCCTTTTCACTCAGAAAGATCCAGAGAGCAAGATTATGGTAAAAACATACCTCTGTCCATAACAAGCATCTGTGGAAATTTTAGATGGGTATTTCCAGCACGAGGTCAACAAGATGTGATGAGTCACAAAATGTGGTAAGCAAACTCAGCATTTCCTTTGTTTTGTGGGATTCTTCACTGATGTGGTTCTGAAAGTGTTGTACATGAGTAGCACCTCATTTCCCAAGTAGGAGAGAGAGGAATGGGAACATGGAGGGTGGATGGG